ATCGATGAATAAAATATCAAGTTTTACGCAATAAATATCCCAGAAATCTCATTTCTTGTGTAGCGCAGGATGAGCCACACTGTAAAAAAATGAAGGTTAAAGATCAGATCAACAGAAACAACAACAATAAACAAATAAACAAACAAACAAAAGGGCCAAATAATGAACTGTAGGTTGTTACTTTATTGCATTTCTTTTTCATATATATTATTTTTAAATCAGAAATAATGCCATTTGTTAACAGATACTTTTTATTATTTGAAAAAGTTGATTTCTATCTCCTGCGTTGGAGTCTAACAACAACTTACGAGCTCGTACACCTTTAATCCGTCTGTGAGCGTCATAAAGCTCAGACAGGCAGCAGAGCAGCTGACGGCCGCCGCCTTCATACCTGCTGCTTATCAAGGTGTGTCTGAGCTGGCGGCCGGCCACGGCCCGGTCCCACCCAGACACACCTCTGGGTGGGAACCGGGCCTCCTGAGACCCGGGTGGGGGGGCGAGGCCTGGAGCAACGCCGGTTGCAGTGCGTTAGTTTGCTGGACGTTAAAGCCTGAACAATTCATATTGGTGTCATGTTCTTACAGTTCAAATCAGATCCACATAGAAGTGAGTTTGGTTTGAAGTTTAGAAGCAAAACTTTATCACTTAAACACTGTCAACATTATTTAAAGGAAGGATCGTGGACAGTTTCAAAGTATGAGCATTTGATCATATTACAGCAAACTGTCAACCAGAATTAACCACTTTATCGTCTATTTTACTATAAATGGAACCACTTTTTTACAAATGACCATCATCCTGTATTGAAGGAGACTGTAAACTATCGACTGAGACCATAAACTCTTTGGGGAGACGTTTACTGAGGCAGCAGATGAAGGTAGAAGTTGGTTCATTATCTCGTCTTTTACTTATTTTTGGAACCAGAGGAGTCGCCCCCTGCTGGCTGGTAGAGAGAACGCACACTGGTGTGTTTGGAGATACATCTTTTATTTATAATCTATTGTTGCGTAAGTGTCCAACCAAATAAAAAAGCCAAAAATAAAAATCAAACATTTACTCTGAAAGTGGAATTTATCAGACGAGTGCAGGATTGGAGCGTCTGGCGCCTCCTCGGTCTGCAGATTTAATTCATCCTGTTTGTTTTGCTGTTGTTTGTTTTTGTTTTCTCGGTTTGATTCAAACCAGTTCAGTAGAGCTTTGAACAAATCGTACTCCTCCTGTCATTCCTGCCTTTGGTTTCCTCCTCTAACTCTGAGCTCAGAGGCTCAGTGAGCTGATCAATCAAGCGAACAATCCTCTGGCCGGATATTAACCCACACCTTCGTCCTCCTCCCGGGTTCTGTTTGCTCTTCCTGGTTCTGCTGCAGGAGGTTGTAGTTGTTGTAGTCAGGGTCGTCTCCATGTACACAGCAGCAGCAGCCCACCCACCAACATGCTCACAAACACCAGAACCCCCCGTAGTCCCAAACCAGCTCCCAGTCCGGCACCATGAACTCTTCAGTCCCTCCGACTGCTGCAGTGAGTATTTAGGAGAGTTTCAGGCTCAGAGGAGGAATTAGATTAGTTTAGATTAGTTTAGATTAGTTTAGGTCACAGCAGGTTTGTTCTTGAAGCTTTAAAGCTCAGACTGAGGTGGTTTGAACCGTTTGCTAAAAGTTTTAGTGTTAAAGTTTGTTCAATTTATTTTAAATGTAAATTAAAAGAATTAATGTTTTTAGAATTCTTTTTTTACTCTAATGTTTGCAAACAGTTATTTCCTGTTTGTTGGTGAAATGACAGATAATAATAATAACTAATGCGATCACAGAAAAAAAATAGTATTTTACATTTAAAAACAGGCCAAAACTGTAATAAAATATATAAAAATCTGTCTTTATAAAAATGGAAATGTATTCTTTTTCACAGTTGATTTTTTAAAATTCTATTTAAATTAGAAAAAAATATTGTTTTATGGATATTTGCTGTTATTTAAAAGAAAAAATAGGTAAATTAGGATGGACAAAAGGAGCAAATCTGTTGTGTTAAATATCAGATAACATCTAGTGAACTGATTATTTATTAAAGCTGCATGTTGACTGTAAATAAGAATTATTTAAATTATTTAAAATGTGTTCCTGTAAAATTACACAGTTTTACTGTATTTAAATCAGCTAAAAATATTATAGATTTTTTTTGTTTTGTAGTTTTAAATCTTATATTATTCTACCTGCCTCAAAAAACATTTTTAAAAAAAATCTTGCTGCCAGATTTTTACTATTTTTCATTCATATTTTTTCTTTTACAGTGTATTTAAGGTTTTAGCACTGATGAGTTCACAGACTATATATTTACGTTTTTATGTTGATGTTGTTTTTAGCAGATTAAACTGATTCCTGACAAGAGAACACCAGCTGTAGTTCAACTTTTTAGAGACGTAGCGTTAGCTAAAGAGCTAGCTAACACCAGACGTTTATCAACACTCAGCTAACGTAGCGACAGTTAGCCTTCCTGATGCTAATGTACTGCTACGTTTAGCTTGTTTTGGTCGTTTTAAAGGCTTCAATCAGCACATTTACATCTTTGTTTTTTCAACGTTGGCTTCCTGCGTCCAGGAAGCAGCAGCAGCGTCCGTATCGGTGCAGGATTTAAGTTTAATTCTATTTGTAGACGACGTGAGGTGACGTCGCCTCTGAGAACTCACATTTATATACCACTGATTTGTTTCACCAATTACGCTTTGCTGGGAGCCTAATTGGGAAACAAACCGGCGGTATAGGAACGTAATTTCTGGGAGTCGGGGTCGGACGGTAATGAGGAGAGAATCTGAGCATCCCACGTTCATCGGCCGCCGCTCCGCTTCCTAATTACCTTTTTTCTGAGTCGACTGCGTCGAGGTCGACCGGATGCAGCGAGACTTTTTCTTTTTTTTGTGCCACTTTTGACGACTTTAAAACAAAACCACCTCCCGGAGGCTCGTGTAATCTTCCTCGGAGGGATTAAAACACAATGGACTCGTTTTGATTGCGTCTAATCAGACAAGACGGGCTCGCTGTGTCGGCCCACTCACGTTATGAACGCCGCCGCTCGTACGGCGAGCAGAGGAATTAATTGCCTGCTGTCCATCTGTAGCGCGGCGTCCATACGTGAGGATTGATTTCCCGCTTTAAGACGAGCGGCCGGGTCGGATCTCTGTGGGAGGCTTCGGCTCGACACCTCCGCTCGCCGTCACAACAACATCCAGCTCAGAGAAAAGTGAGATTTAGCTGCTGGAAGCAACTGGAAAGTGCAAGAAGTAGTTTTTGCACAAAGTCCCGTTTCCTCTGGACGGGTTAAAGTTCTGTTCAGATGCTGCCGGCTCGGTTTATGGATAGTCAGTCTAAACCAGGGGTGTCCAATCCTGGTCCTGGAGGGCCACAGTCCTGCATGTTTTAGATGTTTCCATCTTCCAACACACCTGATTCACATGATCAGGATCGTTATCAGGCTTCTACAGAGCTTGATGATGAGCTGATCATTTGAATCAGGTGTGTTGGAAGAGGATTGGAAGAGGACCAGGATTGGACACCCCTGATCTAAACAAACCACACCGTCACCACAAGTCGGCACAACGTCCACGTTTATGCATCTGATATTTGATTATTTGGACCTTTTTCCCTAAAATAATCTCTTTAGTTTGGGTTCAACCAGCCGGGAAGGAAAACCGAAGGAGAGACGCTGATGGTTTGTTGCAGATTAAATCAGGAAATGGTGTCATTTTGTTGTTGAAGGAGTAAAAATACCAACTTTTGACGTGACCTGTTGGTTTTTTTAGGGTTAGCGTGTCAATTCTATACTTTTTCTCTGTGATTTTACCAACAAACAGATAAAATAACAGTAAATTGATGAAGAGATTACATTTAAAAACCAGCTGATTTCTGTAAATGACGACTATCACGCCACAGAAATACAGTAAAATACAACAAAACCGTTCATTTCAGCTGCTGATGTTGTATTGTTTTGAGTTTTTCTTGATCAAAATCACAAAATAACGCACACGACAGCATCACATTCAGCTTCAGGTTGGCTTCAGGTGTCACATTTTAAACCGACCAGATGGGATTGAGCTGCGAATGCAGGATCTGGTTGTTTTAGACCTAAAATCTGAATATTTAAGCGTCTTGTTTTTACATTTAGACCACCTGAGATCTGTCAACACCAGAAAAATGTCCCTGGTTTATGTTTAGCTGAGCAAAAAGCCTCGTTGTTAGATTCCAGATGTTCACATGAGAGGATTTTTGGTAAATTTAAGTTGAATTTTTTGGATTTTAGACGATTTACTTGATAAAACAAGTTGTTTACAGACACCACATCTTGGAGATCACTTCTCACTTTTAGATTTTAGTGATTAAAATACGTGAAATTACCTTTTGCTGTTTTATTTTGATCAATAAATAAATAAGATAAGATGTTTTTTAATCCCACAGTGGGGAAACGTCCAGTTACAGCAACAAAACAAAACAAAAAATTAACCAAAATATCCACAAGTTTTAGTTCCACACATATGTGTGGAGCTGCAATAAATAATAGAACTGGATTTAATTTCAGCTAACGCCTGAAATAAACACACAAATCTCAAAGATAAGTGGAATAAGTTTCAGAATATTTCGTTTTACCGTCTAACACACCTCCACGCTGCACCTGGCTGATAGAAACCCTCGTGTTCTGGTGTTCAGGACGTCCTGCTCGTGTTTGAAGTCGGTCTTCAGGATTCATCACATTTCAGTCTCTTCGTTCCACGACGCTGCAAATATGCGCTCAACAATCACAGGAGCTCGTTGTGCTAATTGTTGCTCTGCAGCCGGCTGACGGCGGCATGCAGACATTCAGGCTGAGCCACGAGCTCAATGTTCTGCAGAACGCAGACCGTGACCCACAGTACAGACTGTATTTGAAGCGAGTGTTCTGCTCGTCAGCAGCTGATTTATGGGATGAAAGGTGATAAAATCCTCTCTGACTCCGGCTCTCTCTGCCTTTCTCTACAGATTCCAGATTTGCAAACAGCAGACTCGCCTCTTTCTCTGGACGAACTACGACGGCTGATCCAAGACAAAGTTCACATCCTACAAGACCGGCAGGTAAAAAGAATCACACTGTATAATGAGCACACATGCAAACAGCTTAAATACTAAAAATATGCACAAAAAAGTCCATTAAATGCACCGTAAAGCCCAGTTCTAGTCTGAGTTTTTCCAGAAATGCTGTAAAATCTGATCATCTGGCAGCAGGGGGGCGAAAAAACCCAAAAGACAAGACATGCAATATAACACAGGGAAATACTGTAAATAAGAATGTTAAAAGATTGAAAAAAGCAGCAAATATCTGCAAAATAAAACTGATTTTAGCTGATTTACACACAGTAAAACAGTGACTTTATGGTCACATCTTGTACAACTTGACGTTTTTTCCTGTTTTATTATTTGATATTTTCTGTAATTTAGTTTAGTTAAATTTAATTTAATTTGACAAACTGAGAAAAATCTGTAAAATAAAAGTTCCAATAATTATTTTTAATAATTTTTTAAAAATCCTTCTCACATGTAATTTTTCTTCCAATTATCAACAAATATCTGTAAAAATAATATTTATTCTAGTTCATTTACATACAGTTAAACAGTGACTTTATGGTCACATCTTGTACAGATTGACATTTTTTCTGTTATATTATTTGATATTTTCTGTAATTTAATTTAATTACATTTTTTAAAATTTTATTTTATTTAACAAACAGTGAAAATCTGTTAAATAACAATTACCATTATTTTAAAAATAATTTTTAAAATCCATAATACACATATTTTTTTCTTCCAATTATCAGCAGATATCTGCAAAAATAATGATAATTTATTACAGTAAAAAATGGTATAACTTATCAGTCAAACATCGTAAAAGAAATCAATTCATATTTGTAAAAATGCAGATTTTATATGTGAACATTATTTACAGTGATGTCTGTTTTTCTGGTGGGTTCGTCTGTAAATTAAGACTGTTTTTCCTCTAATTTTCACGACATATTATTGTTAATTTAACAAAACATCATGTAAAGTAAATTGTTTACAATATTACAGTAAAAACCGTTAAAAACATTTTTTTGTGCAGGAGAAAAATTGCACAAACAAAAATATCTGTAAAATTAAAATTCCAATTAATTTTAATGCTTTTTTTCAATCCCTAAAACATGTAATTTTTCTTCCAATTATCATCAAATACATGTAAAATAATGACTTTTTTTTTGCTAGTTTATTACAGTAAAAAATGGTAAAATTAGACAGTTAAACACGGCAAAATAAATCATTTAATAATTGTAAAAATGCTGACTTTATAAGTGAATATTATTTACAGTGTTTGTTTGTTTTTACTAGATATTATCATTAATTTAACCAAACATGTAAAATAACAGTAAATTGCAAAATTACAGTTAAAACCTGGTAAAAACATGATGATAGCACTGTAAAGCAATACATGTAGAATTTAATACATATTAATAAATTTGGCGAGAAAAGAGGCCTCAGTGCTACAATAGGACAAACATCGTGGATATTTGCAGTATAAAGAGAATAAAGGTCGTTTAGGGGAAATAAATGATGATTAAAGAGGAACATCGTCCACGTGTTGAGCTGAATCTGAGCAGCCGAGCCGGTTTTTTAGGAACTTTTCTTTGATCTTTGACGAGTTAAATCCTCGCCGACGTGTCTGAAGGTCGACAGAAGGAGCTTCAGTGAAACGTGAAGCCTCCAGTCAAACCTCCGTCAGATGATTATCTCCTCAGCAGCAGCAGCACATCCAGCGTCAGTTTGTCTGTTTGGGTTTTTTTCTTTCCTGTAACCTGATGTGTTCTTTATAAATACGAGCGCTGGCTGCAGGGAACTCTGCTAATTACTCAGCGCTGCCTCGGCTGCATTCCTGCTAACTGTTTTTATCTATTTACGCCACCGGCTCGGCTTTTTTTTTTTTTTCTTTTTTCTTTTCTGTGGGAATCTGCTCCTCCTCCTCCTCCTCCTCCTCCTCTCCTGAGGCCATGTTCAGACAGGCAGCTCCAATCCGGTTTATTCCCTCCTCTCAAGCCTTAATTGCAGAAAGTGAAATAATAAAAAAAAACACACAAAAAACCAAACAATTGTGTTTGAGACGCCTCTCGATGGGCTTTGACGTCGCCTCCCCCGACGTCTGTGAAACGATGGCGATGGCTGGAGACACAGAGACACCTGGATTATCTCACAGATGACGTTAAATAACCGAAAAGTAGCGAGAATTAGTCTGATTTCCTGTTTATCTGATCGATTAGGAGCCTCAGTTATCACACAGATGATGCCAAAGAGCCAGAATTAGCAGAAATGTGTTCGATTTTCTGCTTATCAGAGTAATTATGATGACAAATTGAAATAATAGTAATAAAATGTGCTTCCTGTGCGTCTGTGAAACGATCATGATGACTGGAAATGCTGATTTTTAAATTTATATATTTTTATATCAGGCAAAAACTGAAGTGTGCGTCTGCAAAATACGATAAAGAAGCATTTAAATAAATAAAAATACAAATAAAACAAAAAAACAAAAAGCCAAATTCACGTTAAACCAACAATAGTCCAACAGCTGGGACGTAAACAATCCAACTTTCCCATTAAAAAAACACAAAAAAACACACAACTGTCGCAGTTTGATGGCAAAAACAACGGTTTCCACGTCGAAAACATCTTAATTAACGTCTATTTAATTGTCTATTCTGCTCCTAAACTCTTCCTGGTGAAGTATTTCCGGCTAGTTACAGTTAATATCTATGATAAATAACTGATAGGAGTCGTATTTAAAGTACGAAGTTTAAATGGAACGTCTGCCAGAAAGAAGTAATCATGGAGTCAACAAGGTCTCCAGAAGATTTGGTGTTACGCGTCTTTATCTCGAGAGGTTTTTCCATCTAAACTCATTGTTCATTGTACTTTGGTTATGTTGGCTTTTCCGTTTATGTTCCAGCTTCCATCACGTTCCTTCAACCTAAAGTTTTAAATATGATGCAACAGCAAAGACTTTCTCTGACCTTTGGCTTCGTCCATTTGACTCGTTTAACGCTTCATGTCCAGACAGAGAACCGGATCAGCAAACAGATTATGTTAAAGAACCAACATCAACAGAAATCAGTTTTCTGCTCGTCTAAATAATTAAGATGAATTATTAGCCACTTGTAAGCTTTTGTTACAGAAAACCATTTGTGTTGAACGCAGCCTTACAATAACAAAGATTAAACCAACAATGATGGTTCTCTGACCTTTTCCTTCATCCACTTGACTCATGGAGCTTTAACCTGGAGACGTGTCACGGCAAAGACAAACCGGATTAACACTGGATGATGCTAAAGACCAGAAAAGTAGAAGAAAGAAGCTCCATTAGCTTTTTGTCCGAGTGATTAGGATGAAAGTTTAACCATTTGCACGTCTTGATGACAACATAGACGATGGTAAAGAACCAAAAGAAAGTGAGATTTTCTGTTAATCTGAATAATTATGATGAAAATTTAACCACTTGCCAATAATAAATAACCAAAAATTGCAGAAATTAGTTCGATTTCCTGTTTATCTGAACAGTTATGAGGAAAACTTTAGCCTCTCGGTCGCCTCAGCTGCACAGATGATGTTAAAGAACCAAAAGAAATTAAAATAATGTTATTCTGAATAATTCTGATTAAAATTTAACCACTTATACGCCTTATTTACAACATAAACAATATTAAATGACCAAAAGTAGAAGAAATCAGGTCGACTTCCTGTTTATCGAAGCCACTTAGATGATGTTAAAGAACCACAAAATGACAGAAATAAGTTTGGTTTCTGTTTTTTGATCTAATTATTATGAAAACTTTTCGCCACTTTGCGCCTCAATCGCGGAAAATTAAACCAGTTGTGTTTAATTGCAAAAGAAAAGGGAATTCGCAGCCTTGCAGAAGCAAAACCAACAATGTCAACATGTCAAAAGAACTGGATCACCACCTAGATGATGTTAAGAACCAACAATGGCAGATTTATCAATTAATTGAGATGAAAATTAAGCTACTTGTTGGCCTTAATTACCAAGACAGGATGTTAAAGAACTAAAAAAATGGCAGAAATCAGTTAGATTTCCTGTTTGTCTGGACAATTATGATGAAAACTTTAGCCTCTAGGTCGCCTTAGCTGCACAGATGATGTTAAAGTTAGATTTCCTGTTTATCTGGACAATTATGAAGAAAACTTTTTGCAACCTTGCGACGCCGAGGATCGAACCAGCCGTGTGGTTTCTCTGACTTCCTGTTTGATCTGTTTTAAAGACATGTTAACGCAGAGAGAACCGGATCACCACATAAATGATGTTAACGAACCACAAGTAGCAGAAATTAGTTCAGTTTTCTGTGTATCTGGTGAAAGTAGGCCTTCATTACCAAGAGAAGATGTTAAAGGCCTAAAAAACATGGGAAAAATGTGATTTCCTGTTCGTCTGAACAACTATGACAAAAAAAAAAATCTTTTGCAGCTTAGTTGCAGAGAACAGAACTAATTGTGTTTAATGCAACAAAAAAAGGTAATTTGCAGTCTTGTTAAACTGATGATGTTGGCTCTCTGACCTTTTATTCATCCATTTGACTCATGGAGGTTTAACCTAAAGACGTGTCGAGGCAGAAAGATCTGGAGGATGTTAAAGAACCAGAAATGAGTTCAGTTTTCTGTGTATCAAATGAAAGTCGGCCTTAATTACCAAGAGATGATGTTATTGCAGAAATCAGTTTGACTTCCTGCTAGTTTGAGCAACTATGATGAAATAATCTGTCCTCCTGTGAGCCGTTTCGTAACCTCGCGGTGATTAAACCAGCCGTGTGGTTTCTCTGACCTTTTTTTTTTCCTTCATCCATTTGACTCATGGAGCTTTTACTCAAAGACGTGTCGAGGCAGAGAGATTACCACATAGACGATGATGTTCAATCAGCAAAAGTAGCGACTTCGGCTCTCTGTGCGTCCGACGAGAGATTTTTCAGCGAGTTTGGTGGCGGACAGCGGACCAAAGATCACGTCTGACAAACAGACCAGACTTGGCTGCTGTTTGCTTCTCAGCCTGAGTCACATGGCTGCAGACAGACAGACAGACAGGCAGACAGACGAAGGCGAGGACGAGGGCGATCGGCGTGTTCTGCCAGGATGACTCAGGCGGTCTGTTGTCTTTCAGCCTGCAGCCGCTCGGCGAGGCGCTCCGTCACCTCCACAAGTTCAGACTCACGACCCGAGTCCGAGCTACCTCCCACAACTTTATCTCCGCTTCCTTTCGGTTTTCCACCTTCGTCCGTCTCCTTCCACCTCGCCGGCGTCTATCTATCTATCTATCTATCGATCTGTCCGATCCGGTGATTCACCGCCGCCGGTTCTGACCCGACATGTTGCGACGCATGACGAACTCTTACATGAGCACATTCCCATGAAATGCTCTCCAGACTAAATATCACCGCATGACTTGCTTGTCTCTCTTTTATTATCTCCATTTTTTCCTCTAAGAACCAGAATTTAGGAGCAAATAAAAGCAGGATACTTTCTGTGGGCGTGTTGTTCAGAGACAATAACTACAAATCCGTCCCCAGGCGATGAAAGTGGTCGGAGCGTTATTACACTCGCTGACTTCTTCTTCTGCCCAGTTTGTGCTTCTGGGGACACGTTCGTACCATTTAGATCAGTAGATGAATCAGTAACCAGGTAGTTTTTTTGCACTACAACAAGATGAAAAGTCTACAAATTTACAGCTTTGAGCTACTTTGAGGTCAATGCTAACGGGAGAATGGCACCAACCTGTTTGGTTTTTGCCTTCCCATCGTGCTAACTTTCTCACAACGATGGATTATATCATTAGTTTTGCAGGTATTTGTCGTAAAACAAAGTACTGGATGAGTTCTTAGGAGGTGGTGGCGCCGCGAGAAGCTAAGGAATCTCCACAATCATGTTCTAGTTATTCTTAAAAGGGGCATAAATGTCTGCATTAAAATGCATGAAAAATAAATCATTCATTAACTCAAAAGTCACAAATTTAAACCCGGTGGTGTCGCTGGAGGAAACGTCAAAGCTAAACCTAGCGTACACCTAAACAAGCGAGCTAAATGGCTAATTTAGCACGTAAGCTAACTTAGGAGAACAGTTTAAAGCCGTGTTAAACCATATATAAAGAACCGTTCTGTGCTGAACGTGTTCCATGTGAAACACAAACTGGTTTGAGGTGTTTGCAGACTTTAAAACATGAACAAACTGTTAGCTTTCTGACTAGCCTGCGGGCTCGTTTAGCCGACATGTTTGCGTCACCACGCTAATAAATCACTCGGGTAAACTCTGCCTTTGAGTAAATGCTGGTTTTATTTCTCTACCAGAAAGCTCTTTGGCTGTTATCTTGATTGTGCTCAATAAATTACAGCCGCTTGACTCGTTGGCAGCAGGGAAGTTGTTCAGCTAGCTCACAGGCTAACGTCATCGAATCGCCGTAAATCACAGATAAAACTGTTTATATTGGAGCCAGCCACATCGAGATAACCCTGTGATGATACGAGTAAAAATAGTTCTCACTTTTCTGCTCGCTGAGGAGGTTTAACGAACAGGAAACCTCCACGGATTGAAGATTTATTGTGGGAAGAGTGAAAAACAACCTGGTTGGCCGTCTGATTTGGTGTCGTGTTGACAGTTTTACAGACTCTATTTCCCTTTTTACTCTTTAGAGTCGGTTATATAATCGTAGTCTTTGGCGAAAATGCATTTTGGACTGCAGATTGTAATACTGCAACTGACCACAGGGGGACAAATTGGGCAACTTTCCACTGTAGGAAACGTCCACAGGAACAGTCCTATAATCAATTTATTCTGTTTTTATTGTAGCGTTGAATCCAACAGAATTGACTGAACCAGTAGAAATGAACCAAAACCTTAACAAATAGGAGCTAATGGACTCCAGTTCTGTGAGCACATGGGAAATATACCAATAGAGGAGTATTTATGTTGGCTTATACGTTGAATTTACGTTGTTGGCGGCCATGTTGGAAGGAGAAGACTTAACGAGGACGTTAAGAGGGTTGAAAAGTGTTGCGTCTCGTCCTCTCTGAGTTTAACCAGTCGGCCTTGTCTTCTGTTAGCTTAGCTGGTTAGCATAGAGGGCTAATAGGGGTTTTTTCTCCCACAAAAACAGCCTGAAAGAGGTTCTGCAATTCAGTTTGGCTCCAAAAACTTGGGGGCACATATTTGAAGCAGCCAGGTGGAAGTTAAAATAGGATAAATAGCATTAGATTTAAAAAATAGAATACGCTGAGGTGAGAATTAAGTCAAATATTGACAATAAATAATGTGCATCAGGTGCTAAAGTAGTTCAGAGGTGCAAAGCATTTACATGAGGTCTAGTTTAGTTTTGATTCATCTGCGGGGTCAGTTCTTGAACCCGCATTAAGCCTCAGGAAGCGCTAGCTGGTGCCGCTCTTATAAAAACGTCCGTGACTGCACCTGACGGCTTCTTTAACCTCCGACAGGGTTTGGTGTTCGAGGACAACGCAGGACGAGAAGGAACGTGGAGGTTTGCAGCTCTGAGCAACGAGTTGACGTTTCACCTCCAGCAGCTGCAGAAACGAACGGAGCAGGAGCTCAGCGACATCCACACACAGTGAGTAGAGGCGCTACAAGATGTGTGGTTTAAAACCTGTACACAGTGAGATCATCTGGATGGTAAGACAGCCGTCGGTCGTCCAACATGCAGACTGGACCTACAACAGCGCTGATTCAGGAGGAGGAGAGTCCTCGTCTCTAAAGTGCTTCCTCGAGCACAATGCGTGTTCACAGAACCGGCGCTCTGATGCGGTCAACATCATTTCCTCGGAGCTCTATCTGCCCGTGACAGCTGGATTTCTTGGCCGTCTGACAGATTCTCTCTCTGGTTCGCTCAGAGACGTCGTTTTCGTCACGTCGGCGGAAACAAAACCGAGTCGTCAGAAACCCCTGCAGGTGGAAGTGGGTTAAATAGACCAGCGTTTGGACAGACCGACTCTGGAAATCTGGCTATAAATGGACTAAAAAAAACACTTTATTAAGGCTGTAAACAATATGTGTAGGTGCAGCTTTCTCCAGTTTAAAGCCACAGCTGATAATCTTTCATATTCGTGCTGGTATTTGCTGCAGAAACACTCAAAAGGTCGTCAGACAGAACTGGGTTGAATCACACAATTAGCCTCAACATGACTGAAAGCGGGGATTGTGCTTCTCTTTCTCCACGTCGCTGCGAAAATCGATTGCGCGACGGTCCTCTGTGGACCTGGACCCTCCTCGGCGTGGAATCGGGCGCCCGCTGAGCGCCGTTTGAACATGCGAGTGGGCGGGAGGCAGCTCCGGGTTTCGTCACAGAGCTGAGACCCGGCTGTGGGAGTTTCACTGTATCTCGTAACAGCAGCAGGTTCTGCTCGGCTGGAGGAGACAACGCGATCCCGCCCGTCTTCCTGCACGGAGTCGGGGGAAACCGAAAGCGAACGCTGCTGTCATGCATTGGCTGCGTTAGCGTGCGTGCGGGTTTGTGGACCTGTTTGGGTTGTTTGTTGCATGAAAAGTGAAGAACCTCCAGGTTCTCTGTCTGTAGTTTGTCTGTTCTCCTGCTTGGTTGCATGAAACACTTGGTTTCGTGCCAATCGGCTGTTAAGTTTGAAATCTAAGATCTGTGGGAAGCAGATGAATGAGCATCACGTCTTTATTAGTGGAGACACTTGTTGGTTGTTTTGCTTTTTTCAGCTTTAAAATAATCTCTTAAAGTTTTAAATATCAGAGTGCGTCAGCTTCACAACACCATGAAGTTGTTCAACATCTGCAACACAAGCGATTCCTGCCGTAAAATGGCTGGTGTTGTTTTTATTTTCAAAATAAAAGCACAGGTTCTTGTATAAATTTGTAGATTTCTGGATTTCTGAGAGTCACGATTTCATAGAATCTGACAAAAAGCTGCAGTTAGGCAATTTTTCCAGCAGTTATTGAAGACAAAACTAAGTTTCCTCCCAACTTTAGCTGCATTTTGATCATTTGCTGCTTGAAACCCGCCTAAACAAACTGAATTATTAAGTGTGAAAGAACAGAAACTGCAGCAGAAGTTAATAAAGACGCTGCTGGTCCTAAAATCAAGACTCAAAATCTGATTTTATTATCACTCTAACAGCTGTAACCCTTTTTAGACTTTTTATTTTTGTTATTTCTCAGCATTATGAGCTTAATACGAGCTCCACAGCTTCAAGTTTTCCCCCCTATATTTCAACTCTCGATAAATCCGACACGATTTGATCTAACTGTCCAATATTACAGATTCTGAATTGATGACATGATGAGAAACAACAGTGAAAATTTCAGGTTTTTATCTCAAACAGTTTTTGATTTATTTGTGTTCAAACAGCTTCGAATTTCAATGCGTGAAAAAAATTTGTGAGTTTGGGAAGAATTTTCATCTTGGAAAGTTTAAAAAAAAAAAAAATGAAGCTCAGTTTTCTGAAATATCTTTTTAAATGTCTAGATTTTATGCAGTAGAAGTTTCAGGCCAATCAGAGATGAGATAGTTGAGCAGACATTGGGATGAAATGACGTAAAACAGTAGAAAAAAAAGGATAAAGAGGTTTTAAAAAGCTCAGAACTGACATTTAAAGTCATTAAAAGCAGCAAATCGGTGGATCTTCAGCAATGAGAAGTCAACTTAAAGACTAAAAGTAAACATGCGTGGGATGTTTCTGAGTCTTTTCAGGACATCAGGAGTCAGTGGAGTCAGGGTGTGATTTTAAACACACATGAGAAAGTGAGAGGTTTGAGTTTTGGCTCCAGCTCCTGCCACGCTGACGGTAAAGCCTCAGATGTCGGTAGGTGGCTGCTGCCTCGCCTTGTCGACTCCCAGCAGCCGGGACAAGCCGCGACGCATCTCGGGGTTCGAGGTGTGGCCGCCGACACGCTCGCTATTGTGATCCCGTTCCAGGAAACCTCCCGGTTTCTCGGCAGCGTCGGTTCCCAGCGCCAACGCCGCTCGCTTCCTGTCACAGCTCAAAGTCTTTACGGGCCGAGCGGCCTCTGATTCGCCGCCGCCCGGATTAGCGCCGTGAGACGTCACCCCGCTTTCGTCGGCCCGGGTTTTTCCCCGTTCAAGGTGGGGAAGTCGGCGCTGAAGAGGTTCGAGAGCAGAGACGTGTTTTCTGAGCAGCTTTCACACCGAAAACTTCAGCTTCTTGGTCAGAAGTAGAAACTTAATCCCGACCGAGCGGCTAACGAGGTTTTACTGGCGTCCTACCAAGCTGCTAACGCCGATACCACAGCCCACACCAGCACGTATACTCTCACTGAAGCACTTTTATTTATGTTTTACTCTGTTTTTGGAAGTTATCATCCAGTACAAAGTGTAATTCCTCAGAAGCTGCAGTAAACGAACCACATTTCTCCGCCTGGCGCTACTGAAACATGTTAGGTTGAGAATATGCCCCAAAATACCCCCGTTTATGTCGTATTTACTATTTATTTCCATATTAGCGATGAAATATCAGCAGGTAAAGGCTTATTTACTTCTAAGGCGACAGTAAAACTAAATGTAATCCAGATTTTCGGGGCTTTTGCAGCTAAAAGTTTGTGACGTTTGGCGTTCGATCCAGGAATTAGTCTGGACCCCAAACAGAGACGGAGTTTTGCATCGAAAACACTCATTAAACTGATAAAATTCTAATTTTCTTCCTGCTTCACTACAGTCAAACTCCCATAATGCAGCTGGACTCATGTTAAAAGGTCAAAGAGCACATTTCTTGAACTGAACAACACGTTTGCAGGTGAAAGTCGTGCACACTGCTGCTGGTGCATAACTGATCTATTTACTGGTAAAATGCACAATATTGACTTACTTTGCTAACAATAGAATAAACTCTACTTTTATTAAACTTGTTCACATTCTGCTGATGCTGCCACAGAAGCCATAATTCTACTTTATATTAATGACTGAGGTCAGAACTTGTGGTGGATTTAAATATTTTGTCCCCCACGTTCACATGAAGGGCAATAAATGAAGAACATTTATTAATTTGAAGCCGTCCAGTGATTCACCAACAGAAACACAAACAACCAACATGTGCAAAACTTTAATAATAATATTTATTATTTTCACATTTTTATATATATATTTTTTTTACATGAGTAATTTTATTTTATTCTAATCATGCACATTTGTAAATGGCATAGTTTTACTTTTTAATTTGAGAAACGCACAAACATTCTTGTGCATTAAAAAAACAATTAAAGTCTATTGTGTAAAGTAGAATTTTCACCTTTTTGACAACCGTAATCGTTTCTTCTGCAGCTCCAGTAAAACTACATGAACAGAAACAAGCAGGGAAACATTCCCGACTCTAATATTTCTAAATATATCATCACAAAGAAAACAAACTCTTGTGGGATCTTTTCTTTTCTTCTGGTTCCGATGAGCTTCTTGTGATTTTGTCTCTTTTGTTTGTTTGTTGGTGAGCAGAGCGAAGCTAAACGAACTGAAAACAAGCAGAAATAACAAACTAAACATTTAAACTCTCGTCTTTGTTGTGACGGACGTTCCTCCGACTGTTTCCCTCCCCGCTTGTAAAAATACACGTTGGGTTTGTGACTGGAAGCAACCAGGAAGTGGAAAAAAAAACTCTTAAACTGTCTCCTTAAAAGCTCAGTTTAATCAAATTAAAATAAAAAAAGACATAATTTTTCATACTTTTAATCCTAATTTGGATTTTAGAAATGACTTTTTCAGAAATCTGCACAAAGACATTGAATTATTATCTAATATTCACATGTGCAGTTCTGTTTTTCACACTGTATATTTATATTTTTAGTTGTTTAGGGCAATGCACATTTCTATATTTTATACTTTTCTACTCATTTCTTTCTCCTGCTGAAATATTTAGGTCTTAAATGGAAGCAGCTGGAACAATTTTGACAATATTTCTGCTTCTTGCAAACACAGATTTCACCCAAAACATCTATTTTATGTCTTATGTCACATTTTCAGCTTCACAGTGTGTCTTTGTTCAGTTTCAGTCTGTCTGAGTGAACCGATGGTTTGATAAGAAGCCCGCCGACGTGAGAACAGAATAGTAATAATAATAATAATAATCCTCCTTCAGAGGTTTAATGAAGCGTCTCAGCTCCTGATCTGCTTTATTAAAACAACGTGACATATTTCCTACTTTCTCTGCTCAAACTGTGACGGATTACATGTTTTGTTTCCCGTCGATAGAAGACCGAAGCGCGGAGTCTTTTCGTCTGGTTACGCAAGGAGGCTTCTCTCTGCTGCCAAGACAAACAGGCCGACTGGCAGTTTGGAAAACACCCAGCTGAACTTCGTCGACCCTCAGCTCCTTCTTCTGTTCGCTCGTCGTCCAAAACCCTCCGATAGTGACCACGAAAACCGATCAACATGGTGGAAAAGCTGTGGCGCCTCATTGATTCTTATCCCGCTAAAGCTCCTCCGTCCAACATGTAATAAGAAATAAATAAAACTTTCAATGTAGAAGTCAGAAGTCAGAGAGATTTATGGTCATAAACTGGCACTCGGAGACTCCAAACTCGTGTAAGAAACATTAGATTTAGCTCAAAAGCTGCCGAGGAGCCTCCGAGCAGCGCGATGAC